TTCTGTTGATACAGTCGTTACTAATTTTTCTTGGATTGCCAAGCGAGTCATGTCTTTGGGTAGAATCCTTTGATAGACGTCTTTGTCATTGCCGTCTCGTGCTCGCATACGGCTCCCTTTGCCCAGCCGGGATCCATCAAACTAAGGGGAATTATCTCGTTTCAGCCCGTAGCTGCGACTTGGTCCGCTGCATATTGAGGGTATCTATCTACTCAATCCATTTGTGATCCCTCTGAAGTATTTGTTACCGCGAATTCTCTGAATTTATCACTGCCCTCTATCTTGTTCTACGATCCATCCCCATTTACAGAGGATTGCAGCAAAACCTCCGTCTAGCGCCAACATCCCACTGCCGCGGCTGTCCATCCATTATGGCAGCCCACAGCTATTACAACGGCGGCTACAGCAACAATCCCCCAACCTACGAGCAAACCCTTCCCCACACCGAGCCCGTCGATCGCGTCTCCCCGGTATCACCTGGGCATGGTTACACAGGCAACAGTGGACACCCTTTTGCAACTGCCGACCATGGCTCACATGAGCTTCGGCACAGCCAGCAATCAATCTCATCAGATCAGGGGCCATATGTAGCGGGCGGGAGGTTCAACGAGGCCGATTACTACTCAGACAATATACCGTTGAAAGCACACAATCAGTATCCAGATGGATCCCCGCCGCCAAACTGGATGCAGCAGCCAACTCAATATGCGCCAGAACCATCGGCAATGGAGCCCGCAGGGCCTCCGATTGCCCCGACGAGGAGACAGAAGAAGGGGATATTCAAGAAGAAGATTGCTTGGGTGACATATACATTGACCATAGCCCAGGTCATCGTTTTCATCGTCGAGCTGGTGAAGAATGGTATGTGTTTTCCGCGATTCGCTTTTTCCCGCTGGAGGTCCACGTACTGACTTTTTCGCAGCTCAACTTACAGGAAGCCCGATCGAGCTCCACCCCCAATTCAACCCGATGATCGGCCCCTCGCCGTACGTTCAGATCAACATGGGAGCGCGGTACACGCCATGTATGAAGAACGTGGACAAGATTCAAAATTCGCCCGTGGAGTTCCTGTTCCCGTGTCCGAACGCGACGTCGACTGCGGATTTTGTATGCTCACTCTCGGAGCTGTGCGGTTTCGATGGAGTCCCGAACCCGGTCGCAGGCGGCTCCCTGGACGATCATCCTGAGCCAAATCAATGGTTTCGGTTCATCATTCCCATGTTCCTTCACACCGGGATTATTCATATTGGCTTCAACTTGCTGGTTCAAATGACAATGGCTGCTGATATGGAGAGAACGGTCGGATGGTGGCGGTTCGCCTTTGTCTACTTGGCCAGCGGTATCTGGGGTTTCGTGCTAGGCGGAAACTACGCTGCTCAAGGTGAGAGTTCTTGCGGCTGCTCGGGCAGTCTATTCGGCGTCCTGGCTCTCTATATCTTGGACCTCCTCTACACTTGGGGTGAACGGTCGAGTCCATGGGCCGAGCTTGTGATCATGATTTTTGGGATTGCCATTTCTTTCGTGCTCGGGTTGCTTCCGGGGTTGGACAATTTTTCACACATTGGAGGCTTCGTCATGGGACTCGCGTCTGGTCTCTGCATTATGAGATCTCCTAACGCCCTTCGCGAGCGCATTGGTCTTGCACGTAACCCATACGTTGCCATGACAGGTGCCGCGGGTGCCAGCACGGATCCAGGAAATAAGGTCACCAATCCTGGCTCAAGCATTGCCGACTTTTTCAAAGCTCACAAGGGCTCTACAAGCTCGAAAGATTCCAGTGCTCTAGCTTTCTTCAAGGGTCGTAAACCACTTTGGTGGGCCTGGTGGTTGGTACGACTCGGGGCTTTGGTTGCAGTCCTCATTGGCTTTATCTTGCTTATTGTGGACTTTTACAAATATCACACTTCGAATTGCTCATGGTGCTACAGACTGAGCTGCTTGGTGAGTCGCCTCAATCGAATCTAGATGCGTGACATACTGACACTTTACAGCCGGTCAATGATTGGTGCGAGCAGGGTAAGATCACCGTTGTCAACACGACAACAACAAACTAGGTTCATTTTTGTGCCGTTGAGAAATTTAGATCAGCCTTCTCAAAAACATACTGTATAAAGGGGTTCAAGCAGGCCCCATTTGATTCTGTTCATATAAAGTGGCGGTCTTTTGGCACTTATTTGGAATGATTTTGATGTTACTATACCCAGGAAGAGAATATGTCTATGGAATAGACTCTCAATCATAGAGCGACAATTCAGCTGGTCTGATTCCTAAAATATCTTACTACTTCTCCAACAGTCAAAGAAGGTGGCTGTGGCTGGTGCTAACTACATTATAATTACGTACGCATCGATGGCTGTGCAGCTGGTAATTACCGTACGATACCGCTATACTCCCGTCATGCACTCCATCAAAGATGGCGATCTTCCGCAATCATCCACCAGGCTCCAGCTCATCATCAACGCCTTGTTTTCAGTGCCCTGCTTCGTGCCGTCTTGGATTAAATTTTTTTCGTCTTGCTCTTGTTTTGTTTTACTGTCTGTTTGATCCTCGAATACCAGGTCGTCCTTACTATTATCCGTTACTTTGCGACGCCAGCACGACTATCCCTCCGGATATCTAATTCGCAATGCTCGCCTGCCTATAGATCGTCTCGATGCTCTCGTTCTAGCTGCGAAATCTCCAACGGTGATATACACCGGCATTCACAATGGCAACCCTAGCGACGTCGCCGCCAACGTCTCCATCCTGGCCCAAACGCCGCCCGCGGGCCTGGGCCCTCCGGTGTGAACGATACTGCTGCGCCGCGGCAACATATTTTCCTCTGGCATTTGTCTACAGTCTGACGACGTGGGCGGTATACGTCGAAGCGAGTATCGGGTTCAAGCCGTCGCGAAGCCCGTGGATAGGTATGTTGCAAATCTCCGATGACCTTGCCCATTGCCTTGTCGCGGATGGGATCGGAATTGACTTTGTTTTTGGTAGGATTACCGAGCTCGATACTTGGAATTCTTCTCTACATATGCCTTAATGCCTCATACACGGTGGCGGTCTTTACAGATCCCGGGTCGCCGCTGACGACTGGGGCTGGTCGGCATCAATACAGTGCGCTGCCGGTCACCGAGTTGCCGGAGTTTACGGCGTACACGGTGAGCTCAACTGGGGGATCACGGTATTGCAAGAAATGTCAGTGTCCAAAGCCGGACCGGACGCACCACTGCTCGACGTGTAAGCGATGCGTGCTGAAGATGGATCACCACTGTCCGTGGCTTGCTACTTGTGTGGGGTTGCACAATTACAAGGCGTTTCTACTGTTTTTGGTCTATACGTCGTTGTTCTGCTGGGTGGATTTTGCGGTGGCGGCGACGTGGATCTGGACGGAGGTGTTTAACGATGCTCCGTATCTGGAGACGTTGCTGCCGGTGAATGTGGTGTTGCTGGCTATTTTGGGCGGGATTATTGGACTGGTGCTGACGGGGTTCACGGCGTGGCATATCAGTCTTGCGGTCCGGGGCATGACGACGATCGAAAGTTTGGAGAAGACGCGGTATGTATCGCCATTGCGGAAAGCGCTGGATCGTCACCGCTACGAGCACATACTGGGGAACCACCGGGATGGTAACGGGGACAGCCCGGCTTCGGACAGCTTTGGCCATCGGCTGCAGGACTACGGGCAGCAGATTCTCGACGCGCATGCTAATGCGATTCCCGGAGTTACTCGGGCCGAAGAAGGGGAGGAGCGGCTCTACCCAGCACTAGCGCAGCCCGTTGGCCATAGGGTGCCTGATGACCAACTCACGCCGGCGCAACAGGCGCTGACACGATCGTATGCGGAACTGGAAAGGCGGCGGGAGCACGACAGGTACCAGGATTATCTGAACGAGGAGGATAACGCAAAGTTACCGCACGCATTTGATCTTGGGTGGCGCAGGAATCTGTTGCATTTGTTCGGCAACCGGCCCCTACTCTGGCCCATCCCTGTGTGCACGACCACCGGCGATGGTTGGCGCTGGGAACCGAGCCGGAAATTCCTTGAAGCGCAAGAGGGACTGCGTCTAAAGCGGGAACAGGACATGGCCAGCCAGCAGCATTACTACCATGACTTGTACTCTCGCAACATGAACAACAGCCGAGCCTGGCTAGGGCCGGACACTGCAGCCCCAACATGGAATCCGAATCAGCCGTTAGATAGCTTCCGAAACCCGGAACGGCCCGCCACGGGGGTATCGATGCAGACTTTGGCCCCCATGTCGCCGCGACCACGCCCGGGTGATAGTGATTTCGAAGATGATGTCAGTGAAACTGATCCTTTGAATCAGGGATCCGTCCCTGCAAACGAGGCTGTTGGCCGATTTCGAAAACCGGATGAGCCAGGCAGCGCGACCACTAACCGACGAGAGGAGTCGAGCGAGTGGCGGGACTGGGATTGATGGCCTTGGGTTCGCCAGTCTTTTTTGTTACTTGTCGGGTATTGGACATAGCGGACATGCATACATGCATACATGAATAGGTCGTATATACTTCGATACGAGGAGATGAAGTTCATTCGGCGTATTTCTGTACCATATTTCTGATTTAGATCTGTCTTGATGCGTTAGACTAATGGCTTATCTGGTGCTAGCCTGCTACTAATAGTTGATTGGTGCCTGAGGTATACACTACTATCTTACTCCGGCGGCCGCGTGGAAAGTCCAACGTCATTCGAACAGGACAAGCTGGCATTTTTTATCTCAGTACCTCTAGTTATTCACTCAATTCACTCCAACATTTTACACTACATACAAGCAGTTCTACCAACTGATAAACCATGAACTGACACGTTCCAATGCCACATAGGAACATCATTTGACGCTGTATATAGTTCTCGCCAGTTGCCACCTTATCAGCATCAGCCATCACACTCCAATCTGATAACATCTACATCCAACCCGCCTCAACTCAACAAACAACAACACCCTCCACCAACAAAATAATCACAATCTGCTGGCAGAGCAATACTCAAAATGGCATCCCCCTCCCACCGGCGCCTCTTAAAAGAAGCCTCCGAACTCGCCTCCCACCCCTCCCCGCACTTCACCGCACACCCCGTCTCCGACTCCAACCTCTACGACTGGCACTTCACCCTCGCCGGCCCGCCACCCCCCTCGCCCTACGCCGGCGGCATCTACCACGGCCGCATCGTCCTCCCCCCAACCTACCCGCTGCGCCCGCCCTCCTTCCGCTTCCTCACCCCCTCCGGCCGCTTCGAGGTCAACCGCGAGATCTGCCTGAGTATCTCGGGCCACCATGAGGAGACCTGGCAGCCTGCGTGGGGGATCCGGACGGCGCTGCTCGCGCTGCGCACTTTCATGGATGCGGATGCGAAGGGGCAGGTTGGTGGGCTGGATGTCGACGTGAGTGTGAGGAGGCAGTATGCGGCTGAGAGTCGGGGGTGGGTGTGTGATGGTTGTGAGGGGGGGAGGTCCAATGAGGAGGTCTTGAGGGAGTGGAGGGAGGTGTGCCGTGCGAAGGGGGTTGCTGTTGATGATGATGATGATGAGGTTCAAGGGGCTACCGCAAACGAGAGCACTGCTTCGGTAGAAGCAGAAGCAAAATCAGAACCAGAACGAGAACAAGAACGAGAACCGTCGGATACAAATGCAAATACAGAGATGACGTCTTCGGAGCAGAAATCGGAATCGCTGGGCCCGTCGAGGGTTGGTGTGTCGCCGCAGCAGCAAGTACAAGTACCAGCACCGGTACCGGTACTGCCTGCGTCTGCAGAAGCAGCCGCACCTTCACCAGCGCCGACACGCACGACTCCTGTCCAGACTACGACTACTTCTCGACCTACTACCACGTCAGATGCGCCGTGGCTGGATCGAGCCATCCTAGGCGTTCTTGTCGCATTGGCGTTTATGATCGTACGACGGCTCGCAAAGTCGGAGGAGTATTAGATATTAACGCTGGCGTTCTTTCTCTCGGTGGGCTGGTCCCAAGGAGCTTTTGGATATTTTATTCTTTTTCGTTGGTTGGGGTCTGGTGCATTCACGGAGTGACGTTTATTCCAAGGTTCTCTGGGTTAATTCTTTGGATTGAGTCCTGAACACTTCATTCGAGGTCGGCATTTTATGACAGTACTACTATACAGAACTTTGTTCGCTTAGATATCATTATATCGGAGAGTCAGATAGTCATGCCAACACCATCCACCACCATTCTTGAACTTGCCATCCGGTCGTTTCCTCAACGGCTTCTCCGTACTCGTTCTCCCTTCGTAAAACTCCTACATCCGCCATCCATCTCAACAGGAGCAGAACCTCCCACGCTCCCATCGATGGTTGCACCATGCTCGCAACCCCCTTGGCACTAATCCCGGGACGCACCGCGACGATCCCCACGACAGCCGCCACGGCGAACTCCCAGAGCACTCTGACAAAGTTGCCATGGATATCGAACCACAGGGGAATCTTCTCGGGGACGAATTCGCCTTCGGTGATGGCGGCACGGGGCGGACACGGCGGGGGCGTGTTGGCGACCTTCTCCCGGATCGGGTTGCCGTATGTGTACGAGGCCTCGACGGGTTGCACCTGGACCACGAAGCGCAGCTTATCTTTGTCGATCTGTCTGGTGAGGTAGCCGCCGTCTGTAAGCCCGAATTTGTCGCGTGGGGGATCCTTCGGTTTCAGGATGATTCTGCGCTCGGCGGCGAGGTTGATCAGCGCGAGGATGTCGCCGTCTTCCGCGTGGTAGTTGATGGTGAACGAGCCGGTGCTTTGCAGCGCTGGATCCAGGGTCCCAGTTTTGAACCGCGCGGCTCGCCGGAGCTGGGTGACCTCGATGTTCCGCCTGCGGCCTAACATGTGGAGGAAGAACTCGGTGATGTCGTAGTTGCGGCCCGGGGTAATGCGCCCTCTGTTGCCCTGCGATACGACCCGCTCCGTCGTCAAGGTCTGCAGCGCATCGTCGACAAGTCTGCCTCCGAAATTGGCCAGGGCCTGCCGGGCCTCCGCGGGCCGGTATGACTCCTCCGGTGCGACGATGTTGGCTCGGACCCACGTCTTGGCCACTTCCAACCGCGCAAGCTCGGCCTGTCGTGCTGTAGGCTGGGCCGGCTTGTCAGGCAAGGGGATGGCGAAGGGAACGCCTGCGTAGAGGGCACGTCTGCGGTTCACAGTCACTCCATGAGTGTTCTGATAGAGTTCATCCAGCGTGACCGGCGGCTCCTCGCGCAGCTCAAACACGCTGTCGAACTGGTCCTTGGTGGCAGGAAGATCCGGCAGCTTCTCAGACTTGGGAATGTCCAGCTCTGCCTGTGCCCAGTCAACAACCCTCTCCCAATCATATCCTTCCAGGTCGTCGTAATTGATTGGCGGCACCTGGCCGTTCGCGTATGCTACAATAAACCGCTCCTGAAAGTCACTCTGCATCTTCGCTACCTGTAGTCTGTTTCTGCTGAGAATGTTCTTCCCCCGCTCTTGGATCATTTTCGGGTCCTGGTTGGGGAAACTCTGGCAAACCAGCTGCCAGTCAACGATCTTGCCTTCATAGCCACCGGCTAGTGCCCTAACGACCACAATCGCAGTCAGAATCCTTTCTGCTATGAGACGTGGCAGATGCTGAAGAGCTCGATTCCGGCGGGCAGCTGGTCGGTTTGGCGGTTTTGCCACAACGACATCTCGAGGACTTTCGGCGGCTAGTTTCTCCAAGCGACGGTTTTGTGGGACGTAGTCGTTGCGTCGTCTACGTGAGTCAGCGGAGAACAGCAGATCCAGTGCATCCAGCGAGTCGTCCGAATCTTCAGAGTCAGAGGAAACTTCCGATTCTGAAGGCTCTTCTGATTCCTCTGCCTCTTCTGCCTCTTCTGGTGGAGATTTTTCAGGTTCAAGTAATTCCAAACGGCGAGCTGCTTCTCTGATCTTCCTGACTTTCGGGACGCGCACCCTAGGATAGGCGCTCTGATCAATTTCAATCTGGATATCCCCTTCTATCGGGACTGCCTCTGGGAAATCATCAAGCGTTTGCTGGATAAAAGAAAACTTCTGGCCTTCTTCGGCTGTTTCTTCAAGTATGAATTCTTCATTTTGGAGCTCCCACCTTAGAATCACGCCGGTTTCACAGAAGAACTTGCTTGTGCGTGGATCCACAGCTCTAGAGAAGTCTACTGGGGACCTCTTTACCTGGTCCAAGAGGTCGTCCAGAGATTTCGGAAATCGGAAGGCGGCTCTTGCACGAGCAACGGCCGCAGCTCGGACCGCTACAAGGCCGGCCTCGGTTGAGAAGGTGCCAGTACCGGAATGAAACGTCTGCACCGGGTTCATGAACATAGCATACGGTGCCATGAGTGAAATAGGCATCCAGAGGCGTTTCAGCCGGCGGGGAGCTCTGGGGGCTCCCCCTTCTCCATCTTCTCCAGTGAGACCGTCAACTGGGGTGCGATGCTTCAGGATGCGTTTTCGTTGCTGACCCTTTTCTCTAGTCCTGGACACGGGCGTCACGTCGCGTTCCAGAGAGTCCCGTGCGGGCCCGCGTTGAAGTTTGGCGAGTCGAACAACTCCGGAGGGACGTCGAATCTCCGTGTCAGACTGGAGGCGCTGCAGCAGCCGTCGTTGAATGCTCTGTCCCTTTCTCTTCTCCAGAGCCAGGACAAAGGCTGGCTTTTGATGTAGATGCACGGTAATCCCACGCTCGATAGGCAGTTTCGCCATCTTGGGTTCGCCGCTTGGCGTACTCTTTGCACTTTTCGCACTTGACTTGGTCAGTTCGGGATCCACTTCGACGCCGGGTGGGAAGTAGTATCGAGCGGTCGTCGTAAGCATCTTATGCTGCAAGTCTTTGATTATCGGATCATCAGGCTGCAATTGAGGCTTGGCGACAATGCTCTTTGTTACCATTACCCCTTTGCTGTCCCTCCCGCTGAATGTGAACTGCCGAAGTTTGCCTGCATCAATCAGGTGTTTAATAGATGTCTTGACTGTTCGCATGTCCGGCTTTTCCTTGTACTTCGTCTTCTTCCATGCAGTTGCGAATGGATACCATATTTCGGTACCCATGGAGTACGCGCCTCCAGCTTTCTCAATAATATCCATGATAATGCTCCTGCGTAAGACAGCAACAGAGCCTAACTTGTCTTGCCTCTTTGTGCGCTGACGATGTCCCTCTGGCGTCTGCGATACATCGCGCTGCTCAACGTCTGGTGTCCCATCAGTGAGCTTCAGGTCGATAGCATTGGCTTCTTGGACGTTATTAGTAGTGGTGCCTGGTTCGGCAGTTGCAGCTGGGGCGGTCTCATCCACCACTATGTCCTCGTGCGCTGCGTCTTCCAATGGCGTGCCAATTGCTTCTGCGTCAACCGGGCGGTGTCCTCCATTCTCAACTTTGGTCGGCTTTGATAGAGCAACCTGCTCAGTGACATTTTTCGTTGTAGCTGCCGGAGAAAGGGTTGAGGCAGTGTGTTCACCTTGCAAACCCTGAGGTTCATATCGACGCTTTTTGGACGGTGTCTCTAAGTTTTGACGAGCCTGTGACAGGCCGGCTTGCTTTTGTTCAGCTGGTGACGGAGCTTTTGCAATCTCAGAGGCAAGTCCTTGCATGCTCTTGTGGGCTGCGACATCTTCCCCGGTAGGGATTGGAGACGGTTCCCTTCTCCGTTTGCTGGTCCGAGAAGGAGCTTTCTTGACGGCTTCGGTAGAGGGCTCACCAGTCTTCTGTCCGTCTGACAATGGTTCCTCAGACCTTATGACATGGACCTCAGTAACGTCTTGAGAACCCTGTGTGTCGCTAATACGTTGCTGTTTAGCCGGTCTTTCATGATTCGGCTCAGCTTCTGCGCCAAGGGGAATCCGACTCCGAAGCGTTCTTTTCGTACCTCTGGACGGAGTGTCTGGCACTAAAGAAGTCGTTGCAGGGGTATTAATCGCAATAAATGAGGGAACAGGAGTTGTTTCGACACTTTGGGCGCGGGAAACTTCTTGCATAGTGCTAGCAGCTTCATCTTCCGGTTCGCCTTCCTGAGTCTCAGTAAACCAAGGCAGTGATGCTAATTTTGGCGACCTGAAAACTGCAAGGCGGGAGATTCTCGGGCGACCTTGTCGTTTCCCCGCTGGTCTGCGTCGTCCGCGAGGCGTGATGTACACACCAGGTTCTGTACGCTCAAGGAGCAAGACACTGTATTCAGTCCACGTTTCATCCAGTCCCAACGCCTCGAGTTTCTCTTTTTCCGACATCCCTCGGAATCTCTCTTCGTCGCGTTGCGCTTTCTTCAATCGCCTGATAGCCACGGGGTCTTGCTCAGGAATGACATCCGCCCCCAATTCAGACAGATGTTCCTGTTTGAGCTTTACTTTGTTGGGGGTTCCCTTCGGACGTCCGACTCGATTCATACCTGGCGCGCCGAAACGAATTACTACTCAAGAGTTAACGTCCGTGATTCACTCCTTGCCAGGGGCCAAAACCTACCATAGCTACCATCCTTCAGCCGGAACGGCATAGGATCATTTCCAGTGCAATGGTAATCTGCTGGGTTGACTACCAAGACGCCAGCCAGAAGAGATGCATTGCCATTTTTGATAAGTTCCTTCGTAGGGACAGCTTTGGGCAATCCATTCTCGTCCAATTCAGGAACAGCATCAACGGGCGGTACAGATATTTTCTCAGCCTTGGTGTTTCTGCGGACAAACTCGACGGCTTCCCACGATGCCTCTCCGGCATCGACGAGTTTTTGGAAGTTGGCGGTTGAGTAATGGATATAATGCGTGATGGTCTTTTCAAGTGCCGTGTCTCGCACAATGGCAAGATGGCGTAGATGCAGGGGCTGCGACAATTGCCAGCATTCCACTAACCGGGCCAAGGTGTTTTCCAATGGTCTGCGGAAAAAACTCCCGAAACTGGCTCGGAGGAGATCCTAAAGGAGGTCAGCAGAAGTCACTTCGCACATTGAGTTATCCATTTGCACACT